AGACTGACTATAGGAAAAGTACCTCTCTACATAATGAATTAGAAAAAGTAGAAAGATTTACACAGAAACATGATAAACATGAAAGTACAATTTCATGTTTCAAATCTAAGACAATCAAATACTTTATTAAGATTAAACAGCAAAAAAATCCACTTCTGAAATACAACAGTTTATAAAACTTAAAAGCTTTGTTTATAAAACCTAAAAGCTTAGTTTAATTTTGGATTGAATACTGTGTCTTGGTTTAATTTTGGATAATGAAAAAAAACTGAGTAATAAGCAATGTCATGCACCTCCCTGTACTATTTTTGCCAATAAAACTAGTAAAATGAGTTTTCTCACAGCTATTTCTTTTCCAAAACTAAGGGGCTGAAGGGACCGCCCAGTGGTTAAGAGTGACCAGTGCTCCTGCAGAAAATCTCAGTTCAATTATTCGTTCCTACACAGTAGGAGATTCACAACCAACTGTCACTTCGACTACACGGAATCCAGTGCCTCTGGTCTCCACAGGCACCTGCATACACATACACATCATTAATATTTATTTTAATTATAAATGAATTTCAAAGAAAGCAAGTGTCTTAACTTTAAAAGAAACATTTATCTATATAGGAGAAATATTAGCAAATACTGTTTTTTCAGAAGTAAAAAGGACAGTAGGATTTAAGGAATCGAACTTAAACTAGACATGGTAGCTCATGCCTATAATCTCAGCATCCTGGAGGTTTGAAGATTACAAGTTCAAAGCCAGTCCCAGCTACAGAGTAAACCCTGCTAAAAAGAAAAAGAAAGACCAAAAACAAAACAAAGCTTTAAAAGATTCCAAATGAATGAAAAATGATTTTTCTTCTGTCAGAGTGTGATGTAGCCTTGAATTCATTTTGTAGCTGAGGATGGCCCTGAATCTTCCTGTCTACTCTGTCCTGATTTGCATAATGCTGTGGCTAGAACCTGAGGGCTTCACATATGCTAGGCAGACACTCACACTCAAACGCAATGAAATTTACTACACATTGGCTAATACTCTAAGTACTTTGGAAATCAATCTTCATATGGGTGTGTGTGTGTGTGTGTGTGTGTGTGTATTATGTATGTATACACACAAAAGTGTGTGTGCTTTGCATCTAAACACAAAAGAGTTTACAAAAGCTCAAAGTCAACTTAGAAGCAGTGATACAGGACTTTTAAGATTTAACATTTTTAATTATATATATAGATAAATATAGCTATAGATATATATCTGTGTGGGAGCATGTGGAAGTGAATGCCCACAGAAACCAGAACAGTGTGGAGGATCACAAAGCGCTGGAGTGTTGGGTAGCTGTGAGACACCCAACAAAGATACTGAACTTGGGTCTCCTGCAGGAGTAAATGCTTGTAACTGCTAAGCTACCCTTCAGTGCTAGAACAGTTTTATAGCAGCAAGATCTACCACACAGAGTGCAGTGAGCATCGCCTTCCACACAGAGTGCACTATACAGTGAGCATCGCCTTCCACACAGAGTGCACTGCGCAGTGAGCATCGCCTTCCACACAGAGTGCACTGCACCGTGAACATCGCCTTCCACACAGAGTACACTGTACAGTGAGCATCGCCTTCCACACAGAGTGCACTGCACCGTGAACATCGCCTTCCACGCAGAGTGCACTGCGCAGTGAGCATCGCCTTCCACACAGAGTGCACTGCGCAGTGAGCATCGCCTTCCACACAGAGTGCACTGCGCAGTGAGCATCGCCTTCCACACAGAGTGCACTGCGCAGTGAGCATCGCCTTCCACACAGAGTGCACTGCACCGTGAACATCGCCTTCCACACAGAGTGCACTGTACAGTGAGCATCGCCTTCCACACAGAGTGCACTATGCAGTGAGCATCGCCTTCCACACAGAGTGCACTGTGCAGTGAGCATCGCCTTCCACACAGAGTGCACTGCGCAGTGAGCATCGCCTTCCACACAGAGTGCACTGTACAGTGAGCATCGCCTTCTACACAGAGTGCACTGCACCGTGAACATCGCCTTCCACACAGAGTGCACTGCGCAGTGAGCATCGCCTTCCACACAGAGTGCACTGCGCAGTGAGCATCGCCTTCCACACAGAGTGCACTGTGCAGTGAGCATCGCCTTCCACACAGAGTGCACTGTACAGTGAGCATCGCCTTCCACACAGAGTGCACTGTACAGTAAGCATCGCCTTCTACACAGAGTGCACTGCACCGTGAACATCGCCTTCCACACAGAGTGCACTGTACAGTGAGCATCGCCTTCCATCTCCAAACATCTTCACCTATCCAAATGGAGACTGCACCTACTGAAACTAGCAACACTCCCAAACACCGCAATGTCCCTCAGACAAGCAATTTTACTACTATATTTATATACATGGAATTATGCAGCATTTTTCCTTTGTGTCTGGCTTATTTCATTTAGAGTTATGTTCAAGGTTCATCTGTATGAAAGTATTTGTCAGCATTTCCCTCCTTTTAAAGACTGTATGTGTGTGTGCATGTATGTGAATATATGTTAATGTTTACATATATACACGTACTGGTTCACTCACCTATAGAAATATGGACTGTTTCCAGCTTTGTGTGTAAATAACCTTTACTATGCAGCTATAAAATGAACTATAAGAGGTCACACATTTTTTTGGTATAGATTTGGGAAATAAAACAGCACCCAAAGTTCTGAATGTGTAACTTAGTAATAAAGCCTTCGTAAGCGTTAGTCATTAGCATGTTCCTTTTAAATGAAAGCAATTACCTCTACTGGTTGTAGGGACTATTTGTTGGTCAGTTTTCCCCTGATAGGCTGCAGATGTAATACGACAACACAACATAAAGCAACAGTAAGATGAAAACTAATCCCTTAAAGACACCAAATTTGATCATGTTGATGAGAATAGTAGTTAAAACTGGTTTGGTTAAGGCACAAATACTTCAAAGGATGATGAGTGAACAGAAACTTTAAAACAATTTGGGCTAGGGAGTTTGTGTTGGAGTTTATGCCTGGTAGGCTGAAGGCCTTGGGTTCAATCCCTAGAACTGCAAAAAGGAAAAAGCAAACAACAAAAGCCCTACACTTATGAATTCCATACATACACAAACTTAACAACATTCCAAAAGTCTTAGGAGGGAGCACATCAGGAACACTAAGCAATATTCTTTTTTCTCCATGCTGAGAATTCCTGCCCGTTCTCCTCAGAATCTGTTCACATTACCTCCCAAAGTCTTCCCCAAGCTCCTGAAACAACTCTATCCCAACATAACCCCAAAGTACTGTACTACAGTGTGTTTCAAAAGCATGTCTCCTCCACCAGATGATTTGTGAATTGAACAGGACTCAGGATTTCTAGGTGGAAAGTGCCAATGAGATCAACACTTGTTTCCAGATGCAAAAGTGAGACTCAAAGACTGAGCTCCTGCTCAGACCCTAAAGACTGCCTATGACAGAACTGATACCTAGGTTTTGTTTTTCAATAAAATTTACAGGAAAAACTGCTCCAGCCTGGCTCACCCAGCACATAAATGGAGTCTGAAGGGTATCCGCAAATGCTTTGTCTAACACTCTACGCCAACTAGGAAGTGTTGAAAAAACAAATTCTAAAATTAAACTTCACATTGGTCACGTACAAAATCCAGACCGCAAAAGTTCTGAAGAAAAAAAAACATCTTGTAAGACAAAATATTATATTAAAGTAGTACACATCAAAGATTTAGCAAATTGTGGGAGCAAATGTTCAGAACTCAGCAAGCTGGAACAGAGGACCATGAATACCAGGCTGGTGGGAGCCTAGCAAGATAACCTCTCCAAGCCCCACTTCAACAAAATCAATAATACAAATACTTACTACGGGTGTTTCCTATTAACACATTTAAAGTGAGATAGAGAAATACAGAATTCTGAATACAAAGAAGAGATATTGGAAGAATTAAAACGTACATAAGCACACCATCATCCCAAAACATCATCTGTTCAGTGCAGCGCACATAAACGCTAGTAGGATGCAAGTGACAACTTGCCCTGTGGAATAGACAGGGTTCGAATTTTGAGGAAGTTCGTGTTCATGAAGCTAGAAGTGCCGAGCCACGACGGGCTACCATCACAGAGAAACGCAAAGAAGAACCACTTCTTCCAGCAAGCGCACTACAGTCCTCGGTGAACGAAGGAGAAAGGAAAGGTGGTCTCCTTTCTGATGGCTGGGTTCGGGGAAAGCAAGCATGAGCCAGCCCTCCGGGAAACTCACGTGGGCAGGTCCCTAGAATTCGCTGACAGCACTGCAAGATCAGGGGGCTATGCGGCCAGCGAAGGCCAGGGGACCACCGCGGCCCCACTGGGAGATCTTTCCAGCAGAGAAAAAGCCATGGGGCCCGCGACCACAGCAGAGCACAAAGGTCTCGGAGAGGCACCATCAGGGCGCGTCCCAGCTACCGCGCCAGCCCAAAGCTCCGAGGCTCCTCTCAGCCTCAACTCCACCTTCGGGACCGCAGACCTGGAACTCCGACTCGCGGAAGGCGGCCATTCCATACAAGCTGCAGGCCTCCACCGACACCCAGAACCTCCAGCCCCAGTCACCCCTTAGAGAGGCCTCCCGGTCTCGGGGCAAAGACCAAACCCAGCGCCACCGCCCACTGCAACCCACCGCAGCCTACTCGCGGCCTTCCGCAGCCCGTGCCCCATCCCGCAGGCCCGGTCCAGCGAGGACGGCCTCGATCGGAACGTCCGGCCCCGACACTGCCCGCGAGGCTCCCCGTCCGCCGGGAGCAAGCGAAGACGGCGACCGGGGCAACCCATGGGCCCACGGCTTGCCCGCACTCACCATGGCGACTCCGTGGACCCGCAAGCAGCACAGCCTACTCCGCCGGAGCCGCCCGCCGTCAGGTGACGCGGCCTCCCGAGCCCCGCCCTCTCTAGCCCCGCCCTCGACCGGTAACGGCTTTTCGATTGGCCTACTTCAAGTCTCGCGTGGGTTTGCGGAGGGAGGCAGACGGTAGTGTGTAGTGGACGGGACGGGGCGAGACCGGTCCTGCGACGCCACGGGCTACAGTCAGCGGGAAGCGAAGCTGTGTTTGGGGGAGATCACGGCAGAAGGAGCAGCCATAGAGCGCTGGGCTCGTTCACCTCGCAGGGACCGGCGCACCCTCGTGTGCACTTGCGCAGAAGGAAGACTACGATTGGCTTGTGGGACGCTCTCATTTTCTTGTCGCGACCAATCCGGACGCGCCGGGGGCGGGTCTTAGCGCTCTGACAGTCTGCGTTTCGGCGCGCATTTCTTCCAGCGATGGAGTCGGAGCTGGTGCGGCGCCTCGCCCCGCGCCTCGGTCTTGCCGAGCCGGGTGTCCTGAGGTGAGTGCGGCCGTGCGTGCTGGGATACGTCCCTGCCCCGCGGCCCTGGATCCTCCCCCCATGGCGACGCTGGAGGCACTGGCGGTGCGGGAATGACCGCACACGGGTCTGAGCAAGACTCGGGCGGCCCCACCGCGAGAAAAACTTTCAGGCTCGTGGGGTGACTTGAGAGCGCGTTCGTAGTCGTCTTACTCTGTGGGATGCGCTGCGGTCGGAAAAGGAACCAGTCAGGGTGAACTCTGGTCATATCTCAGGCTCGAGAACCTGTTTACGGCGGTGAGCCCGTCACGCGCAGACCCTGCAGATATGACTGTAAATGGCAAGAGTCGGGTAGAATACAGTACAGAGTGAAAAGCTGGAATAACAAGTAGGGCGTACGAATTCAGAAAAGGTCCCGATGGCTTTGAGGCTGGTTTGTTAGATAGTGCCACGCGTGGAAAAATGTGTCACGAGTGGCCCAGATCGCCTCGGTCTTCAGAAGCCCTGTGACTGGGAAGATCGGTGTATGATTTGTTGTCGGAAGTGAAGCTATTGCAGGCAGACGGATAGAGCAGAACCAGGCCACGAATCTCAGCACCCAGTGAGGTGAGGGAAGGGGAAGAAAGGAACACTGAAATAGATGTGAAGATGGGACTCTGTAATCATTTAAATAGGGGACTGTAAAATGTGGCCCCGGACCCGCCGCAGCAGGAATGTCATCTTGTTAAACGTTCCAGCGCCTCATCCCGGGGCTACTGCTCAGAAATGGGATGGGACTCAGAAATGTTTCCAGTACCCTCCAAAACTGAGAACTACTTCAAGGAAGAGAAAGAATTTGATTTGCTCTAACCTGCCTGCGTTCTCCTCTGTGTACTTCTTCAAGTAATGTTAGAAGAAGAGGGGTTGTTTGGGGAGACTTGAATTCACTATTCTTTAAAAACGCTTGGACACAGCTAGGTCTGTAGTCATTTTGGTTCTATCTATAGAACTTCCCCTCTCCAAAGGATGTGTATGTATTCTAGGCCCCAAATGAACATGCGCAGAAGTTAGATGGGGTATGAGTCCTCCGTGCTGCATTCAGTTCTTTGCCTTAGTGTTGGACTGAGTTCTGGAACAATCTTAGTGAACGTATTGCATTCAGTTCTTTGCCTTAGTGTTGGACTGAGTTCTGGAACAATCATCTTAGTGAACGTACTGCATTTCTACCCAGGAAAGCTGAAGAGTACTTGCGGCTGTCCAAGGTGAAGTGCACGGGTCTGTCTGCACACAGCTCGGAAACCAGCAGTGCTGTCATATGCCTCGACCTTGCTGCTGCCTGCATGGAGTGCCCCTTGGATAGAGTACGTGCCTCCATATGACATGTGAACCATCTGATTGCGCTCAGGCTTCTTCGTTCCATTTTCATCTTCTTGGGGGTGGCTTTTCATGGTGCTGTGATAAATTACCCCAATAAAAGCAGCTCACGGAGAGGGTTTCTAGCTCTTAACTAAGGGTACAATCTATCCTGGCACAGAAATCGAAGGACTTGACGAATCTACGTGACAGCTACAGCCAGGAAGCAGAAATCAGTGAATCATTGTACCTGGTTCACTTTCTCCTTTTTACACAGTTCAGGATCCTGTGGCAGGAAATCATACCACCCACAGTGAGCACATCTTCCCACGTCAATTAATCGAGTTACATAACCCCCTAGACATGCCCACAGGTTCTTCTTTCCTGCTCTTCTGGATCTCAGCTGTTGAAAGTTGAACCAGACCTTCTCAAAATCAAGGTTTTAGGGTTTTAGAGTCAGGAAGAGTCACGTGTTGGAACCAAAAGTTAGTACTATTTACTAGCTCTGTGAGCTGCCAGTTTCTTCCAAAAAGTGAAGATTTAAAAAAAAGTCTTTCACTGGATAATTGTTGTGGCTCGATTAAAAAAAATCTCTTTGTGTAATGTGTCTAACAGTACTTGTGTCGTAATTGATGTGTTCCTTAAAGCTCTGTTCACTTTCTGTCGCTATCCAACGCTTCGATCTCTTTTACCCTGACCCCAAGCTGTCATAGTGACTTGTAGTTTTGTAAATGCACACTCCTCCCGCCCCACCCCCGGATTCCTTTCTGACAAGTTCCTTTTTTGTCTTAATGTGATTCTGCTTGCTCCCCTGACTCCCCAAATGGAGTTGGTGCCCTACTGTGGTGGGGTCTCCTGTCCTTCCCCCCTCTCTTCCAGACACACACCTTCCTCACTCTACCCCCATACTCCCTTATTTCCCCAGTAATTGCATGTTTCCACCAAAGTCACACATATGTGTCTCCCTCTGATATTTTGCACAGCTTAGACAGTATTTAATCATTTTTAATCATTTGTACGCATGCATGATTATACCCTTCTGTAGTATGAGTTCTTTGAAATAGTAGTCTGCTTGACATGCTTGTGGATTTTTGAGTTAAATAACATTAGTACATAATACCACTTAACAAATATCTAAGGGTCGGGTGGTGGTGGCGCACGCCTTTAATCCCAGCACTCGGGAGGCAGAGGCAGGCGGATCTCTGTGAGTTCGAGACCAGCCTGGTCTACAAGAGCTAGTTCCAGGACAGGCTCCAAAACCACAGAGAAACCCTGTCTCAAAAAAACAAAACAAAAAAAAAAGAACAAATATCTAAGGATAATAATACATTGAACTTAAAATTTGTGTGTTTTTCCTTTCAAAGGCTTATTTAATTAAGCTGTCTGGCTTGAACAAGAAGATGTATCAGAGCTGCCTTAAATCTTTTGAGTGTTTACTGGGATTAAATTCAAATATTGGAATTAGAGACCTAGCTGTACAGTTCGGCTGCACAGAAGCAGTGAACATGGCTTCAAAGATACTGCAAAGGTGTGTGTAATTTTTAACATTTATTTATTTTGTGTGAGTAAGTGTTCACCTGCATGTATGTCTGTGTACTACATGTGTGCCTGGTGCCCTCGAGTCAGAAGAGGGCATTGGGTCCCATAGACTGGAGTTGTGGATGAGTGGGAGCCACCATGTGAATGCTGAGAATTGAACCCAGGTCTCAGCAAGAGCAGCAAGTGCTCTTAACCACTGAGCCATCTCTCCAGCTCCTAAATAAATAGTTTTTAAAAAGTATCTGAGTCAGTTGTTACAGCACAGCAACAAGCAAATGGTAGCAATAGGTCAGGAGAATTCAATTCAAATCGGAAGCCAGGTGGAACTACACCTAAGTTTTGTTTCTAAATTGCTTCATTGCATTTTGAGCCCCTTTGAAATTATACTCCCTGACAACTAATTCACAAACATTGTTTCTCCTAGCTATGAGTCTAGTCTTGCGGAAACACAGCGAGCAGATCTCGACTTGTCCAGGCCGCTCTTCACCACTGCTGCGCTACTTTCAGCGTGCAAGTAAGTGGGCTGTGGGCGGGGAGGGGCTGCTGTGTGCGGGGAGGGGCTGCTGTGTGCGGGGAGGGGCTGCTGTGTGCGGGGAGGGGCTGCTGTGTGCGGGGAGGGGCTGCTGTGGGCGTTTGAGACAGAGTTTTGCTGTGGATCCTAGGCTGGCCTTAAACTTATGGTAATCTTCCTGCCTCCTACTCCCAAAATGCTGAGATCTCAAGTGTGTGTGCCTCAACACCTCGCTCCAGTCTGAGTGTTCTTTTACCACTGGGAAATGTTGCCAGGATGTGAGTTTTTCATTATGTAAGAATGTTTATAATTCCACTGACCTCAGCTCAGCACACTGTCTACTATAAACCTGTGATGCTGTGGTTTGTGGCCCGGTGTTCAGATTTTTGGTTACTTGATAATATAGCTGCCAACTTAGAACTAGTGTTTCACGAAGTTTACTTTCCAAGTGGCAACCCTGTATATAAGTAAGCAGGGTAGTCTCATTTCAAACCCTACTTTTCATAAGTGATAAAAATCTGTCAGTACAGTGGTCATGTTTGATTTCCCAGGCATATTGTTTAAAAAGTATTGCCTAGGAAAAAAAATAAAAAATAAATAAATAAAAAGTATTGCCTATAACTGTTCATCTGCATATAAAACATTTCTGAAATAAATTCTTATGTTTGAATCATCAAAATATTTAGTTATCAGTATACATACTGAATTATTACCATGAAATACTAATAGTTTTTTATAACTTTGATGTTATTTCACCTTTTGAGGGAACTTTCTACATAAAAATCATGTAGAAGTCTATTAAAGAATGTCACTATCTAGTCACTAATTTTGACATGTTTGGCTTGATTAGCAGTATACCTAGGAGTGATCATTCACAGCCAATATCCTTTCAATTCAACGAGGATATTTGATTGTACAAGAAAGGAATGTAGTTGATGTTACAAAAAAACTGAAAGAACTCCACTTTTAGAATTATATTAAATTGAGCAAGAAATGGTCAGTTGTCTTGAAGTGTGTGTGTGTATATGTATATGTGCTGCTTGTGGAGCCCAAAAGAGGGCACCTGGAGTTACAGGTGACTGTGAGCTACCATGTGGGTGCTGGAATTGAACCCAGGCCTTCTAGTGCTCTTAACTACTGAGCCATCTCTCCAGCCCCAGTTGTTTTGTTCTGTTTTTAATTGCTTGCTCTAGAGGAATGTGAGTAAGGTTTTGGGTTTTGGCAGTGGGGCAAAGTGATATGACATTCCTGTATAAATAAATAGAAACATTCTCAAAGCAAGTTGAACACTTAAAGACATTATAAGTCCATTCTGCACATTGGTAACATCTAAGAGGCATGAAGCTCTACAAAAAATGTCTTTATTTGCCCCATTTATTGCAGAACAGATGCATTTTAGTTCTTGGTTCAATCAGAGAGCAAAGGTATGAGCTTCTAGCTAATGATATTTGGGATAGAGGAAAACCTAGACAGCTGGAGAATCTTAGTAAAATGTAGGCAATGGGTAATAAATTTGTAATCTGATTAACTTAACAAGGAAATTGGTGATATTGAAAAAAACAAACTTAAAAAATTATTTTTTAGAATCCTGAAGCTAAAAGTGGATAAAACGAAAATGATAACTACATCCGGTGTGAAAAAAGCAATATTTGATCGTCTTTGTAAGCAGTTAGAGAAGACTGGGCAGCAGATTAACAGTGAGTATTCTCAAGTTGAAAATGCTGGTTTATGAATTCTTTTTTTTTTTTTAGTTTTTCGAGACAGGGTTTCTCTGTGGCTTTGGTTCCTGTCCTGGCACTAGCTCTTGTAGACCAGGCTGGCCTCAAACTCACAGAGATCCACCTGCCTCTGCCTCCCGAGTGCTGGGATTAAAGGCGTGCGCCACCACCACCCGGCTTGGTTTATGAATTCTTTAGTGAGGAAATTGACATGTCAGTTCTTCAAATACAATGGTTTAGTACATTAAAAATTATGCTTCCACAAATCTGTGCCTGGAAAATAGAAACATCAGTGTCCAAGCAGCCGTCCCAGCACTGAGGGTGCAGGCGCAGACAGATGTCTGTGTTTGAGGCCAGCCTGGTCTACATAGTGAGTTCCAGGTCAGCCAGCACTGTGTAGTGAAACCCTGTCACAAAACAAAGAAACTTCAGTGTTAAACGCCAGCCTCTGAGTTCCATAATAGGATGGAAGTGATTCTCATGTATAACAAGAGAAACACCCAGAAAAAAGAGGAGCAAGGTTATCTGCCTTTCCTTCATTTTTCTCACTCCTGTTGGTTTTGAATTTCTCTGATTTAACTAAGGACCTATATAACCAAATAATAAAATTGAATAAAAAAAAATTAACCTTGAAACCACTTTTTCTGAAAGGAGACTCTGGAGATTTAACGAGTCCAGCACTGAAAAAAAAGAAGATATTGATTGAACCACCATCAAAAGGTACGGCATGCTAGTTGTCCTGGTACTGAAATTGGTGCTGTGTGATTTCTGCAGTGAGCAATACTGTGACATTCCTAGTTTACATGATAAGAGCCAGCACTAGATAGAAGCCTAACCACTATCTCTTGATAAGATCTACTTTTCAAGCCAGGTGTGGTGGTACACACCTGTAATCCTAGCACTCTGAAGATAGACACAAGAGGATTGCTATAAATTCAAGGCCAGTTGGTCTATATAGTGAATTCCATGCCAGCATGGGTGATACATTAATACCATTTACAGCCTTTTAAGCAAAAATAAAATGGAAATAAAAGAAGTGTAGGTAAAAATATATCTAACGTGGCCAAAAAATAAAAATTTGCCTAATGTTTAAAAGTACATGCCGCACAAGTATGGTGATACACACCTTTAATCCCAGCACTCACAGGCAGAGGCAGGCAGATCTCTGAGTTCAAGGCCAGCCTGGTCTACAGAGCAAGTTCTAGACCACACGTGTATGAATGTGGCTAGCTAAGCTGCCTGAGTTTATATCCTGCTTTGTGTCTGACAGAATCTTTTGGCAAATAAAATAAAGTTTAAACAGAGACTGACTTGTAAATTGGGCAGCACCAAACCCAAAACTGGTTCAGAGAACTCCACCTCGTAGTTGAACAGTAAGTCTTGATAGACTGAACCTAAAAGGAGAACAGAAAAGATCCGATTGAGTCAGACTACTCATTTCCTTTATTTAAGTGCGTTCTAATGTGAGGAGGTCCCTATTTGGATAATAAGAAACTTTTGTGATTGGCTACTTTTTTTCCCTAAAAATGTATTTTCAAGTTAAGTTCTAGTTACTTACATAGGAACTCTAGCTACAAAGACAATCTGATGTTAATGGCCTCCTTTTTAATTGCTTAACAATACCCACTCGCTGTGTGCATTTGAAAAGGTAACACAATTCCAACAAACTTCAGTTTCCTAATCTGTAGTACCTGATTAATGTTAGCACCTACTGTATACTGTTCATGATGAGATTACTTATATACAAACTGTTGTTCAGTGTCTTAGAACACTTGGCATGTAAAAGAAAGAAAAGTGAACGCTGCCATGTTCGATTTCACCTTAGGGTCTCATTCTTTTACCCTAATTGAAGTAAATACTTTTAATTTTTACTTTTATGCCATTTGTAAATATAAGTTTGAAATTACTTTTGATAACTTTGTCTTACAGAACTCGAAGACGTAATAGAAACCCCACATAAACCACCAAAAGATGAAAGTCTGACACAGGATTATGAAGAATGGAAAAGGAAGATTTTGGAAAATGCTGCCAAAGCTCAAACAGCAACAGCAGAGTGATTTCCATTCCACTGTCGTCCTGTGCAGTGTGGAAGATGAAGGGCAGTCTTGTCTAAACTTGCATACCAGGAATGCTGAGGATTGTCTCAATATGGAGGACACTAGTACTAGGCACCTCACATGGAACTAGATCACCATGCCACCTCCATAGACTCAGGTCTGTCTCCTCCTGTGGGATGGATTGGGACCATTTGCTTCTCTGTTAAGCTTAAGGAAGTCTCTGACTTCATCTAGAATGTACATTTCAAGCCGAAAGGCGGAACAGATATTTTACCTGCTTTTGTGATTTTCTTTTTATTTTATTTCACTAAATCAGTGTTATACAGCCTAAGTTAATAAATGTTTATTTTTTTTAACATTTATTTGCTTTATTTTATGTTTATAAGCATTTTGCCTGCATATATGTTTGTGCACCACATGTGTGCCTGGTGCCAGTTGAGTCCAGAAAAGGATGCCAGGTCTGCTAAGACTAGAGTTACAGACAGTGAGCTGCCATGTTGGTGCTGGGACTCAAACTCCGGTGCTCTTAACCACTGAACCATCTCTCCAGCCCAATAAATGTTATTTTTATCTGCATTTCAGTTGCAGTCCTCAGCTTTGAGTAATCTTCATTAAGCCAACAATCTGTATCTACTCAAATGAAGAAAAAGCCCATGTGCACTGAGCCCTACTATTTCTGGAACCCAGACTCAGACTTCCTGGGTTTAAGACCCACTCTGCTTTGCCACTTGAACAAATAGAATTAACTTCTGTTTGATCTGTCTATAAACTGGAAACTAAAAGGTACTGCATGACTATGGATGTGTCTCAGTTACTATGGTGACTGCCATGCTCAAAGGCCTGGGTTGGATTACCAGTGCGCCATAAAACCAGGCATAGTGCACCCCAGTAATCTCAGCACTTAGGAAGAGAAGGCAGGAGAATCAGAAGTTTAAATCATCCTCAGCTACATAATGAGTTTAGAGCCGGTGTGGTTTCCATGAAAACCTGTTTCACTGCTGCCTAGAATAGCGGGGAAGTGTACCAGACCCATTGTATGAGAGCATATAGTACAACATCTGCTGGGAAGAAATGACATAATTACATACTAGCACCTTTTGTGCATTACACAGTGCACCAAAGATTATTTCTTGATAGCCATACACTAAAAAAAAAAAATGTAACCTTAGTAAACCCTTTAACACTGAAAGTTTTATAGATTTTTTTTTTCTTTTGGTTGAAAATATTTTTCATGCAATATATTCTGATTATAAGTTTCTGCTCCATCTCCCAGATATTCCCCACCTTCCCACCCATCCATCTCCATATCTTTCTTTCTACAGAAAACAGGCACATAAAAACAGAAAAAGCACAAGAAATGAAGACACACAAAGCCCATAAAAACACAAATTCAGAAACCACAATATATAAGCAAAACATCAATAAGATCAAAAAAAAAGTCCAAACAAAGAAATATGAGACAAAAGAAAATGTATAAAAAGAACATGGAGTTCAATTTGTGTTGGCCTTCTACGTTTACGTGTGGTTTATCAACGCAGTGAGACACCATTGGAGAAAATTAATTTCCCTTGCAGCTGTCAAATTGAAATAGTTTTGCTGTTGTTGTTAGAGATGGGAGCTTATGCCCACCTCCCCCTCTCAACACTAGGACTCCATGTGTCTTAGACCGGTGCAGGCCCTGTACATGCTGCCACAGTCTCTGCGAGCTCACATTGCATCAGTGCTGTTGTGTCTAAGACACCATCCATTCCTTGGTGTCATTCGTCTCATCTGACACTAAAATCTCTGCCTCCTTTTCCTCATATCTTCCTGGGCCCTGAGACGTCCTGTGTAGGACTGAGTGTTCCAAGGTCTCTCCTCTCTCTCTCTCTCTCTCTCTCTCTCTCTCTCTCTCTCTCTTTCTCCAGTTTGGGTCTCTATTAACTCCCACATACTTCATCAGCTTCTCTGATGATGGCTGAGTGAGATAATGATCTATGGATAGAGCAGAATATTGTTAGTCATTTTATTGCTATGATCCTTTAGCAGAACAATATAGTATTTGGTTTTTTTCCCTAGGACCATGGTCTATCTGGTCTCAATGTCTTGGCCACCTGGGCAGTGTCAAGCATGGGTTCCACTTCATGAGTGGGTCTTAGGTCGAGTCAGATAGTGGTTAGTTACTCCCACATCGTGTACCACTATTGCACCAGGCAGGTCACCATTGTAGAATGAGGACTTTGTAGCTGGTTGGTGTTTCCCTTTCTCCTCTGGTAGGGTGCAGAGCACTTTCCAGTACCATGAATACTAGTCAGTAGAAGTGAAGGCACCAGCTTGAGATATAAGTGTTGTCTTCAGCAATGGGGCCTTTCCATCAGTTTGTGGAGAGCAACCAATAGCCTTGCCAATAGCCCAAGTTGTTTAGGGGTTTCCATGGGGCCCCCTTGGCCAATAACTAGATGTATGAGATTTCTTGGCATGAGGTTTCACTTGTTGGTAAAAGATGTCTAGTTGAGGCATCTTCCCATTATTTCAGGACTCCATTTAGATTTCTTTTATATGTGTATATATTTTAAGAAGCTTTTACTGTAGTATGTTTCCATATGACTCCCCCCCAAAGCCCTTAGTATTAGTTGTCCCTCCCCATATTTCCTTCCTAACCTCCCTTCACCCTTTCCCTCCCCATTTAATCCTCTCATTCCAATTCCCCCATCTCTCCAGAACTATAAATTCTATTTCCCTTCATTGGGAAATCCTCTCCTCCCTCCTAGTCCCTTACTCTATACCTAACCTCTGTGATTATATGGATTATAGAATGCCAATGAAAGGCTTAAAAGCTAACATCTACATTTAAAAGAAAACGTATTTGTCTTTTTTAGTCTGATTATCTCAGGATGATTTTTTCCCTACTCCATTTACCTGTGAATTTCACAATGTTGATCATTTTGCTCTAATAGCTGAATAATATTCCATTATGTAAATGTCTCATATTTTTATCCTCTGTTGATGGATATCTGGGCTGCTTCTAATTTCTGAGTATTGTGAATAGAGCAGCAATGAACATGGAGGAACAAGTGTCTCTGTGGTAGAATGTAGAGAATGCATAGACTCCATGAGTGGAAGAGCTGAATCTTGAGCTAGATCTATTCCCAGCTTCCTGAGAAACTTCTACACTGATTCCCATAATGGCTGTACAAGTTTGCACTACCACCAGCAATGGATGAGTGTTCCTCTCACCCCACGTCCTCACCAGCATGAGCTATTATTTGTTTTATTGATCTTAGATATTCTGACTGGTGTAAAGTAAAATCTCAAAGTAGTTTTGATTTCCGCTTCCCTGTGACTTAGGATGTTGAACATTTCTTTCAGGGTTTCTCAGTCATTTGTGTCTCATCTATTGAAAAACTCTCTGTCTAATATCCCTATTTAATTGGGTGATTTGTTTTATTTTTTTACTTTTTTATTTATTTTTTTAAAAATAATCTTGTCTCATTTTACATACCAATCCCAGTTCCCACTCCCTTTCCTCCTTCTACTCTCCCCAACTTCCCCCACCTGACCCCCCATCCACTCCTCAGAGAGGGTAAGGCTTCCCATGGGGAGTCAACAAAGCCTGGCATGTTACTTTGAGGAAGGACCAAGGCCTTTACCAACATATCTAGGCTGAGTAAGGTCTCCCTCCAAAGAGAATGGGCTCCAAAAAGCCAGTTCATCGCACTAGGAATCAATCCTGGTCCCACTGCCAGTGGCTCCACAGACTACCCCAGCCACACGACTCACAGAGGGCCTACTTTGCTCCTATACTTTCCCCCATTGTCAGTCCAGAGTCAGTGAGCTTCCGTTAGCTCAGGTCAGCTGTTTCTGTGGGTATCCCCATCATGGTCTGACCCCTTTGCTCATTTCTGGCTTACTCTTCTATCACTCCTCCCTCTCTTTGACTGGACTCTGGAAGCTCAGCATAGTACTAGCTATGGATCTCTGCATGTGCTGCCGTCAGTAGCTGGATGAAGGTTCTAGGATGACATTTAAGATAGTCATCAATCTGTTTACAGGGGTAAGGCAAGTTCAGGCACCCTCTCCTCTATTGCTTAGGGTCTTAGCTGGGGTCATCCTTGTGAATTCCTAGGACTTTCCTAATGCCAAGTTTCTCACTAGCCACATAATGGCTCCTTCAATCAAGATATCTCTTTCCTTGTTCTCCCTCTCTATCCTTCCTCCATCTCAGCCATCCCATTCTCTCGTGTTTTCCTCTTCCCTCCCCTTCTCCTGTTGGGGGAGGCTGCTTGTTCGTTCTCGGCTGCCCAGACCACGAAATCATCACACAGAAACTATATTATTTGCAATACTGTTTGGCCAATAGCTTAAGTGTATTTCTGGCTTACTCTTATATCTTAAATTAACCCATTTCTATTATTTTATATTTTGCCATGAGACTCGTGACCTACCAGCAAGGTTCCAGCACATCTGTCTCTGGCAGTAGCTACATGGGTTCTCCTGGTTCTGCCTTCTTTCTCCCAGCATTCAATTTAGTTTTCCCAACTAGCATTACTCTGTTAAGCCACTGGCCAAAAGCAACTTCTTTATTAACCAATGGTAATAAAACATATTCACACATACAGAGGGGAATCCCACATCATTCTCCCATCCTACTCCCCTTCTGTCCTCCCTTCTCCCACCCCCATGCTCTCAATATTCTCAGATCTTGTATATTTTCCCTTCAAATAGGGATCCATGTATGTCTCTTAGGATTCTTCTTGTTACCTAGCTTCTCTGGGGTCATGAACTATAGGCTGGTTATCCTTTGCTTTACATCTAACATCCACATATAAGTGAGTACATACTATGTCTTTCTGGATCTCTGTTACCTCACTCAGGATGGTTTTTTCTAATTATATTCATTTGTATGCACATTTCAAGATGTCATTGTTTTTTTACCAATGAGTAGTACTCCATTGTGTAAATGTACCACATTTTTCTTATCCATTCTTCAGTTGAGGGGCATTTAGGATGTTTCTGGGTTCTGGCTATTATGAATAATGCTGCTATAAACACAGATGAGCAAATGTCCTTGTGGTATGAGTGTGTATCCTTTGAGTATATGCCCAAGAGTGGTATTGCTGGGTCTTGAGGCAGATTGATTCCAATTTTCTGAGAAGCTGCCATACAGATTTCCAAAGTGGCTGTACAAGTTTGCACTCCCAAAAGCAATGAAGGAGTGTTCCCCCTTATTCTGCATCCTCTCCAGCATAAGCTGTCAATGCTGTTTTGAGCCCTCTGGGAAGAAAACAGGCTACACCTCTTTTCCCTTAAAAAGACAACCCCGTGTGTTTAATATTCCTAGCTTTCCTAGTGCTATCTGTGGAAGTAAAGACCCCTG